TATAAGGGGAAAAATATATGTCTGATGAACATTCAATTAACGATATATGTACTACACACATTATGTCATCCTATATAATATATATATGTAAGGAATAATCAAAGTGTTCAAAATTTATATGTCCCATATAACATTTAATATATAAACAAATGTGTAGGATATATATGTATATTTTATAAAATATAATACATATCATGTTCTATTTAAAAATACATATATCTTTTCATAAAAGAAAAAAAATTAAGTTAATAAAACAAAGATTATATATGGTAATTAATTTTTTCATAATAAGAACTTTATATATAACATAAAAAAAAGAAGAAGAAAAAAAAAAAATGATATAAAGTGATATAAATAAATATAAAAGATTATAATTTAGCAGCATTCATTTTATTATATGTTCTATATCATGTCTATTTTAATTAATATAAATTAAATATTATAACAAAAAATTAAAGTATATTATATGACAAAAAAAAAAAAAAAAAAAATGAAAATAAAATAAAATAAAATAAAATGTGGTAACAATATTCTTGTTCCACTTTTAAATATATTAAAAACAAACAATATATACTCAAAAAAAAAATAAAATAAAATAAAATAAAATAAAATAAACAATTTAATAAATAAAGAATAAATAAAGAAATATAAATATAATATAATATAATATAATCTGAATATTACATTAACAGCAATGATAAAAAAAAAAATAATGTATTCATATTTAATTCAAATGTAGAAGACATTTTTTTTTTTTTTTCACATAAGAATATATTTATCCTATTCTTCTAATATATTATATATATAATATATAATGTTTACATTTTATGTTGTCATAACTAATACATGTAAGAATACATTTGTACAATTTTTTTGGTAAATCGACGTATATTATCCATCTGCTCAATTTGATTATGTGGGCATAAGAGAAGAAAGAGTTTGATAATTTTTTGAACTTGGTTTAGGTATAAAATTTTATTTTTATCTTGCAATGAATTATTTTTTGTCTCTTTCGACTTCTGATTAATATGATAAAAAAAATGGTTAACAAATAGAATGCATGAAAATACAATAACAGTATCATCATATTTATTGTTTATATTTGGTATACACAATACATCATTGAATACAGATAAGAGAAATTTATTTATAATATATGGTGATCTTGTTATAAACATTAATTCATATAGTAAGGAATATTTTATAATATTATTGGATAGTTTAAATGAAGATGCAAATAAAGCAATTCTTTCCATTTTTAAACTTTCTTCTTTTTCTTGATAAATATTTTCTTTAATAATAGGTTCATATTTATTAATATTATGAACAGTATCCTTTAAGCTATTTATATAAACATTACTTCTTTTTTTTTTATGATGATGATAAGAATAGTTATTATCATTAATTAGTAGGGATATAAAAAAATTCGTGGTATTTAAAATATTTCTTAAGCATATACTTTTGCCAGATATTTTTATATGTGAATAAATACAAGCAGTAATTGCATATTTAAGACATTTTAAGTTATTAATTTGTATAAAATTTAAATTATTATATTTTTTTCTTTGAGGAGAATAGGAAAAAATTTTATCAAATTTTAATTTTATTTGTTCATAAAAAAAGTTATTTTCAATATGTAGTGGTGTGATATTCTGAACGAGACTATCTGTTTCATGATAATTTTCTGACATGTTATTATTTGAATTTATAGATTTATTATTATATGAAAATGGTTTATTGTTTTGACAAGATAATAATAATTTATTTTTCTTTGAATCAATAATATGATCATTCATATGTTCAGATATATGATCATCATTTATAAGGCGACTTATATTATCATTACCCTTTATTAATGAATCCGTATCATCACGCAGGAGATTATTATTTTCATTTTTCTCAGTATGAGAGCCATCTAAATGTGTATTAAGTATATTTAAATATCTAGTTTTGAAGATACGATATAATGTTTTATATATATCATTTATATTAACATATTCTAAGAAATCATTATCTACAAGTATATTTTGAATAACTAAACCTAGGATAAAAAATATGTTATGTAATTGTTTTTTTAAATCAAAATGATTTTTGTAATTTTTTTCATCCCAATTCATTTTTGGATAAGTTCAAGAAAAAAAAAAAAAAAAAAAAAAAAAAAAAAAAAAAAAGGTAAAAGCATATATGTTATAATATATATATAAATTTCCCGAATTTATCTCATGATGGTAATTTTTAATTTTTGAACTTTCACATATTATGAATTGTATTTAAGTGTAACGAAGAGCTTATCATTTTTACAAAACAAAAAAAAAAAATAATAATAATAATAAAATAATAAAACAAACATATAAATATACATATATATATATATATATATATATATATATATATATGTTATGTAAATCTTATATATTGACACACATAATTTTTTATATTTAACGATAGATTTAAAAAGAGAAAAAGAAAGGATCGTTATAGAAAAAAAAAATATATATTCACAGGAATAAAAATATAAAATTTAATAATATATATATATATATATATATATATATATATATATATATATTTTTATATATATGTATATTTTATTTTTTATTTTTTTTATTTTATTCTTCTGGTATAGTTCCTTCACCCTGAGATATAATAATGATGTTTAGATAAAATGACGAATGATCGTGCATTCATAAATAGTATATATTAGATAATTATTTTTTTAAAATTAAAATGCTACATTTATATACAAAGCATATATGGATGAAATGGCTGAATTACGAATGTTTGAATTATAGTAAGAAATGCTTAAATGATATGAGGTTATTGTATGGATTGAAAGGTAACTATACATGCTATTTCTCAATCACCGATAAAAGTAATATGGATGATAAGAGTAATAATATATATGTTAATAGTGAAAATAATATTTATAATAATACTGAAGAGAACCATTATAAAAAAGAATATAATGATAAAACAAGATCAATTATTACTCATCTGAAGAATAAATACGATATAATATCAGACTCTTTAAATTTCGACATAAAAAAAACAAAAGGCGAAAAAGAAGATGTTTTCGATATAGGATATATCTGGAGCACTTTTTTCAAGTGTGAAAAAAGTTTGTATAATGTTATTAGTAAATATGTAAGTACAGATGTGATGGATAATTATCTTCATTCATATTTAAATTATAATGAAGAAGATACATACCTAAAAGATTGTTGTAAAGAAAATATTCTTTGTGATAATATAAATATTGATGATATAGAGAAAAAGGTAAACAATATACTTATATATATTACATCCTTTTATTATAAAAATATTCGAGATTATAATATGATATCTATATTGAGTGATAAATTAATACATTTATGTAAAAAAATTGATTCTATCAATTATAAGAATAGTAAGTTAATATTTAATATTTGTAATGTGTATAATAAAGTGATGGCACTAAACGATGAATTATTTTTCGTTGTTTTTAATATATTAAATAAAATATATGTACAAGATAATAAAAAAAAAGATATTGTAATAAGAGATAAAGAAGTTTTGTTAATATTAAAAACATTGTATAATCAAAATTATAAAAATCATATAATAGTAGATACGATAATTGGTTATATAAAATATGGATCTAACTTAAATTCTGATATAATTGTTGATACTTTTTATTATTTAACTTTACTTTCCAGAATAGACCATGAATTATTTAAAAGGATTCATACTTATATATATAATAATAATAATATATCAGAAGAACAACAAATGAATTCCTTCTTTTCATCTTTGAATAAAACAAAATTTTTAGAACTAGAAAAAGAAAACATTAGTACTATCGATAATTATAAGATGAATACAGAGATGGTTCAAAATATTTCTTTTAAAATAAATATAACCCCAATAAAATGTATCAAATTACTATATTCTTATATAGTTTTGGATGATGAAAATTTCCTAAACTTTTATATTATAGAGAAATTATTAGTTACACTTTGTAATAATTTAAAGGATAATAATAATATCATATTTAAAGATGAAAAAGAATTTTATAACAAAAAAAAAATACACGAAATGATATGTATTATAAGAACATACTTACGATATAAAAAACCTTTTTTTTATAATTATTTACCAAAAAATGTAAAAAGAAAATTAAAAGAAATATATATATATGATATAGGAGAAATAAAAATTAAGGAAACAAATTTTAATGAAAAAGTATCTTATCATTTAAAAAAGTTAAGAATTCCACATATACAAAATGTAATGAAAGGTGGTATATTATTTGATATATTAGAAAAGGATAAAAAATTAGTTTGGTTATGTTTATCATATCATCATTATTATGTTAGAACAATTGATTTAACAGTAGAAAAGTTATTACAAATAAATTTAATAAAAGCTATGAATTATAAAATATCAAAAATTCATTATTATCAATTTTCAAGAATGAAAGCTAAAAAAACCAGATTTGAATATATCCGAATGTGTAGATATTATTCATTAAGAGATAGAAGAAACTATGATGACGAATTAGAAGGATGGAATTTACCATATATTAATTGGTACCATAAAAAAAATAAAAATGTTCATATATCGAATTATTTTTATAATTATACACCCATATCACAAGTTGAATATTGATTTATTTTTTTTTCCTATTTTTAAATATTTCTATTTTCTTACATATTTTATTTTCAATCATTTTTCAAACATATTTATTTGTACATACAACAAAATCGTGCAACATATGTATGTATATAACATGAAATTTCTCCTTTCATAAAAAAGATATATATATATATATATATATATATATATATATATATATATATATATATATATATATGTATATTTATTTATTTATTTGAATTATTTATTATTTCATTATATTATATTATTTTTTTTTTTTTGTAATTGTTTAAGAAATAAAATTTTTGAAAATATAACAAATATAGGAATAATTATAAGACTTAAAATTTACTCTTATATATATATATATATATTTATTTATTTATAAAATATTATCCTATAAAAGGGTAAAAAAAATAAATAAACAAAAATAAAAAACAAGGTTCTAAATTGTTCATATATTTAATATTAACAAAAGAATTTGTTCAAAAAAACATGATTAATAAAATTGTAACAAAAAAAATTGATATTATAAATAATTTTATAAAAAACGAAAAGGAACGAAACAATTCATTTTTTTGTAAGAAACGTTAGAAAAAATATTTTTTTCCTAATTATTCTGAATTTAATTGTTTATTATTTTTTTTTTTTCCTTTTTGAGTTTTTGAATTAATTAAATTTTTTTTTAAATATATAAAATTAATAATTAAAATTATAAAATAAACATTATATAATAAAATATATAAATATATTATATAATATAAATAATTATAATATTTTATAATAATAAATATTTTTTTTTAATTTTATATTCTATAAAAAATAAAAATAAATAATAATAATCCCCACTTATATTCATCATATTGTAATATTTTATTCTGTGGGCTTTAAAAAATTAATCTATAAAATATATTATTATATATAATAATTATAAATTTAAATAAGATAATCTAAATTGATTCATCATTTTAGATACTTTTTTATGAATTATAAATTTTGAATATATTATAAAATTATACAAAAAAAAAAAAAAAAAAAAAAAATGATAATTGAAATATATAAATTATTATATAATTATGTACATATAAATATTTATTGGTTTAACTATAATTATATATATAAATATATTATATATAAATATGACGTTATTTTTACTTAAATTATAATTTATATATAATAATATTTATACATACAATAACATTTAAAATAAATAATACATCATTTTTTTCTTTTATGAAATACTTGAAATATAAATTTTTTTTTTATGGCTAAAAAAATTTATATAAAAGAATTCTCTCTCTCTCTATCTATATATATAATATATAATTTTTATTCATGATATTTTTATAAATAACGTATTATTTTATTTATTTTATTACGTATTTAAAAAAATATATTATAATAAATATAAAATATATAAGAATTCTCTTATATATTATATATATGTATATATATTTATTTATATATACTGATTGATATAATTTTATGTAGATTTATATATTTTTCTATTTTTTAATTAAATTTTTATAATATAGTAATAATATATTTCTTATTATTATTTTTAAGTATATATATATTATAAGTATAAAAAAAAAAATAAATAAAAAATAAAAAATAACTGCATTATATTTTAAGCTCAATGCAATATTTCTAAAATAAAATACTACATATATATTATATATATATATAATTGTATTTTAACGTAATATTTAATATAATAAATAAATATAATATATATATTATATATATATATTATAATCTATATATATATATATATATATATATATATATATATATGTATACATAATAAATACATTATTATGTAATATATTTTTATATCATAATAACATATTTCTTTTATGAAAATGAAAAAAAAAGAAGTCGGAAATTTTTTAAGTCCAAATGTTTGCGTTGTACTCTTTTTTTAAAACATTGTATTTATAAAAATATAACTACATATAAGTATTTATAATTATTTATTTATGTAATAAATTATTAATATATAAATACATATAATAAATACTTTTTATTATTTTATTTTATTTTTTTTTTTTTTTTTGGAATATGATTTTAACATAAAATATACATAATTTGTATACAATAATTAGATCATAAAAATATATAAAGATATATATATATATATATATTAACAAAAAAAGAAGAAAAAAAAAATAACATAACAATTTTGTATATTTATAAAACGATTAAATAATAAAAAGAAAAAGAGACCATATTTTAAAAACATACATATTAATTAATGATTTATATATATATATATATATATATATATATATATATATATATATATTCCATAGGTGTATGTTTTTATAATATCTAAAATATTCTTTCTTTTTTAATTAATCTGATAAGTATTTTTTTTTTATTAAGAGAGAATACTTATGTCGAAAATGATATTTCACCAGTGATGTAATCAAAAATGAGAATAAATTTCTTTAAAGAAAAAAATAAGATACGATTAAATAAGAATCTCGATTTTGATTCAGATATAGCTATATCTAATGCGAACAATGAATCAAATAATTATTTAACAGCCAATAGTGGTATGAATTAATACAAACACATATGTAGATATGTATATTTAGAACATAGAGATAAATACAAACTATATATATATATATATATATATATGTATATATATATGTATTTTTGTTTTTTTTTTTTTTTAATAGATAATGAATATGATCATTATGGCTTTGAAAAAAATAAAGAATATACACAAGAAAATAATGATGATAATAAGAGGAACTTAGAAAAATATAAAAAGAAGATTGAAAGGAGGTAAAATATAAATTTTGCCATTTAAAATTTTTTTCTAAATATTATATTTGAAAAACATGTAGCATCATTATACATGTACTTTTTTTAAATGTGTATATATAAATTTATTATATATATATGTATATATATATATATATATATATATATATATATATTTACTTATTTATTTTCGTTTGTATGTTTAGATGGCAACTATATTTTACATTTAAAAGAGATATAAAAAAAAGTTATTATTTAAAATCTTTAATAAGAAAAGGAATACCCGATAAATTAAGGTCAAAAAAAAAAAAATATATAATAAATTATATAATGAAATATAAAGTATAATATATATATTATATATATATATATATATATATGTGAAAAAGAGAGGAAATTAAAATTTTTTTTTTTTTTTTTTTTTTATGTAGACCAGACATTTGGCCATATTTATTGGACAGCATGGTGTTATGTTTAAAATATCCGACCATTTATGAAAAGTATATTTGAAATATGTAAAACTGTTTATTGTTTTTATGATATAAAATTTAAATGTATTTATCTACATATATAAATTTGTATTTATTTTCACATATATATATTTTTTTTTTTTTTGTTTTCCCTTCAGATGTTTAAATAGTGAACTAGAATCCAAGGTCTTAAGTCAAATTGACTTGGACATTATACGAACCTTTCCGCATAATAAGAATGTATGAATATTTTATATATAATTCTCAAATTAATAATATATATATGTGCATATATTTTTGTATATATGTATATATACTTATAATGTTATGTTTTCCAAAATTTTTTTTTTTTCTGAAGTATCGATTAAATTCACCTGGATTGGTTCAATTAAAGAATGTGTTACGAGCTTTTGCAGTTTATAAGCCAAAAATAAATTATTGTCAGGTAATGAAACGTCTAAACTTATAAAATAAGGAAATATGAAATAAGTATATATATATATATATATATATTTATTTATTTATTTATTTAACCTTTTTCTAGAGTATGAATTTTATTGCTGCAATTACTTTAATATTTTTAAAAGAAGAATTAGCATTTTGGTCGATAGTGCAATTAATTGATTCAGATTATTCACATGAAAAAATAAATATTAGTGGTAAGGATATTTAAGAATATGGAATTTTGTATATATGTTATATTATTAACATTAAAACATCTATATATTTACATATATATATATATATATATATATATATATATATATATGTTTAATATATACTTTCTATATTTCTTTTTTTAGATTATTATAATAATGAAATGAGAGGATTACGTAGAGATATAATTGTGATAGAAGAATTAATAAGGGTGAAATTGCCTGATGTACATTTACGTCTAAAGTATGTACATTACTTTGATAAATTAAGAGAAATCTATGGACATATATATGTATTATTATATGATATATATAAATATATATATATATTTATTTTTATCCCTTTAGAGAATTTGATGTTGATCTTTCGTGGATATGCTCAGAGTGGCTTTTGTGTTTATTTTGTACAACCTTTCCGGTTAGTAAAAAAAAAAAAAAGAAAAAAAAAAATTATATGTGTTATATGTATATATATATATATATATATATATATATATATATATATTATTTCTTTACATATTTAGATCACTACTACATTACGTATATGGGACTGCTTATTTTATGAGGGTGATAAAATAATTTTTAGAATAACCTTAGCCCTTTTTAAATTGAATCAACAAAAATTATGCGAACTTAATTCTTTAGAATCTATTCTTTTATTATTTAAAGAAACCACAAAAAACATGGTAAGAAAAAAAGAATATAAAAAACGTAAATTTTTTATTCCTACTGGGAATATACGTGTATATTTATACATCTACATATATATATATATGTATATATATATATATATATATATATGTGTTTTTATTTGTTAAATCATCTATTTTATAGTTCGAATGTGATAAATTAATGTATATTGCGTTTAACGAAATTGGCGTTTTAAAGAAGAAAACCATAAGAAAGCTAAGATTAAAAGCGGAGGATATTATTAAAAATGCCGTACCGTAATGATATATATATATATAAATATACATATATATATATCATTTCCTTATTTGTTATATTGATTACTTTATATGTTTTTACATATAATAATGTATTTCTTTATACCTAATATATTTTATGTTTTTTATTCCTCTTCCTTTTACTAAATATTTTTATATTTATTTATGTTTCATATATTATGTTTTTTTTTTTTTTTTTTTTTGTTATTTAATCTTTTTTCATTTATACTTTCATTCATTCTTCCTTTTTTTTTTTTTTTTTTTTTTTTTTTATAATTTTTTAAGTGAATATATATTATATATGTTTTGATTTGTTCCTGTATATATAATATATATTATATATATAGAAAATTTTGTTTCCCATGTTTTAATTTTAAAATTATATATATATATATATGATATATTTATTTTTTTCACCTTCAAATCGTCTACATTATCTTCATTTCATACTTTTGTTAATAAAAAAATACAAGAGTAATTTCCTTTTACACATTTATCTCTTATATATATATATATATATATATATATATATATGTACATTTGTGTGCTTGTGTATTTTTATTAATATTCTTTTTTTTTTTTTCATCATAAAAATTTTTTAATTAAAATTTATAAATCAATTCTGATGAATAAGTATAATTCAAATAAATAAATAAATATATATATATATATATTATTATTATTATTATTTTTTAAATGGAAATTCTTTTTATTTTGTAAATTTAAAAAGTAACAAAAAAAAAATAAAATAAATAAAAAATATAATATAATAAATAATAGTAATGAAGTAAAAACAAATAAGAAGAAAAAATTAGTGATATAAAAATGAAATATGATGAACATT